GCCCGTTAGTCGATAGCATTAGCTTCGTGCTTGGTGAAGCGTCAGTTATTTTTTAGAAATATGGTAAAAAACGTTAGATAAGTCCGCCTTTATAAATTTATTTGCACATGAAGATGTCTTTTTGCAGTTTCGAGCGCAGAGGAATGACTGCTCCGAGTTTCATTTCGACGGCCCTGGATTATGTGCAGAAGCTGCCCACTATGGGTGATTTATTTGGATTTCTCCGGGCATATCCGGCGTACTTCAACACGTTCGTGCGGTACATCGAGCGGGTGAGCTCTTGATGCAGTGTCAGTGTTAACACAAATTAATGAGCAGCGCTGGCTGCAACATCTGAGCAAGAGCAACTCTGATACATTTCGAGGAAGCTTGTGAAGGATATTCTTGTTCAATTATTTCATTTCTGCTTCGCCCAACCATCCATCTGCAATGTCGCAGTGCGCAGCGAAATGATGATATCAAATAATGTGGACTCGAAAGAGTTTCACTTTTTCTTATCACTGTCTCGCGGAGCGTATTGACGGCGCTGTGTGGTTTTGCGAAAAGCTGCTAGCAAGGCTCAGCTAGCAAATGCGCCATTTAATAGCAAAGCGTGCTATGATTTAACTGCGGTCGGTGTCATGCATACCGAGCAGTAGCAGTTCATGTCTTGCTATATTCTGAAATTACGAACTAAGCCTGTGTTTTGAGGCGAATGTAGAGCTCATTTCGAAGCAGTTTGAATGGCTCGATGATTTGACTGTGACCGCTCAAAAGTTCGAAAATTTGTAGTGCTTTTTGGCGATCTTGACATATATCTCGTCTTCTGAAAAGGATGACTGTTTTAGTACTGTCCAGGCGGAAGCAATTAGCAAGGCTTTAGCCATTTCGAAATGCCCTTGGTTTTAATTATCACCGCCTTCCCAAACTTTGCTATTACTCCAAGATGAGACATCTTACCGACTAAGAGTGAAATCTGGTGGTACGAGAAGTTTTGTAATTTTACATTTGTTTAGAGGAGGAGATGGAACCGTCTTCATTCACCGCTAGTGATCAATTCCTTTCGCAGTTCCTCATCACGTACAAATGAGCGGATGAGGAGTGGAAGAACTCCCCGATTTCCAGAGGTGATCTCGGTTTTTGTAATTTCATTTTGGAAAATAGGCGGAGGGTCGCGAACATTCATCGAAATGAGTCATTTGCTGCAGCGTTCAAAAGGGATGAAACTAAAAGTGTGAATCACACCTAGTTCCCTAAAGTACTTCTCCGTCATACACCCATTAACGCTCAGGCATAAAGCAGATCAAGCGCTACCCTCATTCAGATGACAAATCAGTCATTTAAGTCCTAACCTGCCGTATTCTAAAAGCACAGTATAAAAAATTGGTAAAAGCATAATATGTAGATAAAGGTGTAACCGGGCCAGAGAAAATCGTGGGCCTTGATATCACTCTCATTGCTCTTATTCGAAATATATTTATAATTGAATTCAATGCTTTTACGTGTGGTATACAGCTTCCTGTCTCCTCCCCATCTCCTATTCACTCTATACCTACATACGCGCAAGCAACTCTTTTTATGTGTACAAATTAGACTATTTTCAGCAAGGGGAGAAAGGCATACTGTTAAAGACTGTCTTTTCGAATTACTGGCAACGCGTACAGAACAGTAAGGAGGAATCTGCTCCAGCCGCCAATGACAAAAAAAAGCTGAAGGCTGGAGCAGCCCAAGAAGAGGAGGAAGCGGAAGAAGTGGGTGGCGAAAATGAGGCGGCGGTGCAACTTCTAGCCACCTGGTTTCCGTTGCTGCGCCCTGTGCAACCACACTCGCAGAGGCGGCTCAAGAACTATATCTGCATGGGCACTGCAGCACGAAGAGGAGGCCACCGTGGAGTATATTGCTGCGGTGGAAGTGGCCAAGGCGGAGGAGTCGGCACCTCGGCGGGAACATGGAGGTGCAGCGCCCAGAAGAGGAGGCACCGGCAAAAGAAGATTGATTCAATGCTGAGCTCGTTGTCGCGAGTTTGTACACTGTAAGTTTTTATGCGTTTTTGCCGTGCTGCGTTAGAGCGCTGCAACAAGCAGCAAAAACGCATATTGCAACGACCCTGTCGGTGTGTGTGTGTATGTATGTATGTTTGTGTGTGTGTTCGTCTGTCCGGGTGTTTCAACTCGCCGAC